ACGTTGGAAATCTCCATGGATTTTATACTATTTGGCATCATTCACATTTCCAAGTTCACTAAACAGGTGAATTTCTTGATGGGAGCTGGTAATCCTGGCAAATGGGTGGAGCGCAATGCTGAAATGGTGTTTGGATTTCAAAGACTGCAGTCATACATCTGTTTCCTTTCAAGTAAACCACATGGAATTCCGCAGAATGTACCTCTACATGCATAGGCTTTACAATGGATGGTGAATAACTTCAGCTGAGAAGGATCCTATCTACAAGAGCCCTAGAGTCTAGAATCTAGATCATGCAAGACTGAAGGAAGACCACCCAGCCTAATTCCCTCCTGAATGGGGTTTCATAGCATCCTAGAATAATTTGAGTTGCAAGGGACCTATAAGGCCATTGAGTCCAAACCCCTGCTCAAGGCAGGAATCCAAATCAAAGCAAATCTGACATATGGTTGTCCAATTTTTTCTTGAATGCCTCCATCATTGGAGTACTCACCACTTCCCTCTGAGGTCATTGGTTCCATTGTCATACTGCTCTGACAGTTAAGAAGATTTTCCTGATATTCAGCTGAAATTTGGCTTCCTGTAGCTTGAGCTCATTGTAACGTGTCCTGAACTCTGGAGTGATCAAGAACAAATCCTGTCCCTTTTCTTTATGACTACCTTTCAAGTATTTGAAAAGTGCTATAATACAGTGGTCTCCAACCTTGGGCCTCCAGATGTTCTTGGACTCCAACTCCCAGAAATCCTGGCCAGCAGAGGCGGTGGTGAAGGCTTCTGGGAGTTGTAGTCCAAGAACATCTGGAGGCCCAAGGTTGGGGACCACTGCTATAATACACTTGGTGCCACAACTGTGGTGTATCCCCTACAAGCGAATCCAGTCATAAGGTAGGATGTTTAAGAGATCTCCATTGGATGGCCAAAGGACAAAGGGAGAAGGCAGTCTTCTCAGGATTCTGGAGCTAAACTATGTGAGGTGTGGAAGGTCTAGCCAGCACCTTGGTTTATGCCCAGAACCTAATTGCCAATGGGTCTAGGGCAAGGCAATGGCACCTCCTTTTATCCCATGCACTAGCAGTGGCCTACTGACCAAGTCACACAAGCTGCTTCCTTCTTCCAAATGCTTTGCAAGAGCAACCTGGTATACAAGCCCAAGAGAATCATCTATATGAATGGCTACAGACACAAGGTTGTGGTTTGACAGGAAGGGTCCCAGCCTTGCTCATTCAACTCCTTCAGGTAGGATAGATTGCTGTACAACACTATCCATCCTCATTGGCTCCTGCAATTCTGAGAGAGAGAAAATGGCACTGGATTAAAGAAGGGTTGTCAGGCAGGAGGAATAAAACCACTGACAAATGTTAAGTCAGGTCCCAAAACCTTTGCAGTATTTTCTTTCGAGCTTTCTTTGTTTCATTCTCATTGAATCACTTCATTTTTCATTCATGTTTCAAAACAAATGATTATTGCTGACTCTATCTATTCTTTAGATTTACAATGGGGGCAAAAAAAGTTTGCAACAGAAAAGTATAGCCTTCCTCAACCTGGTGTCCTCTGGATATGGTGGACTATATCTCCCACCAGCCTCAAATGGAATGGGCATTGGAATCAGAAGACCAGCAGTTTTGGAACAGCCATTATCGTTCCTGTCCCATGCTTTGTCCTGTCTCCAGAATTTTTTTTTTTTTTTGAAGGGGTGCATTTAGAACCCAATTATAGATTATATTTGCATTTATTTATTTATTTTCTCATTAATTTATTTTAGTTGTAGCCTGCCTTCCTCTGTTGCAGGCCCAACATAGTTTACAACATGAATTTTAAAAACTGACAGATTTTTAAAAACTCAATAAACTACAGAATTAAAATAGCATTAAAGAAGACCTCCCGTGAAAATAAATAATGAATTAGCATGGTTTAAAAGTCTTTAATAAAACACACACACACACATAGCAGAAAAGAAGAGCAACCTCTGTCATTAAAACGGGCTGTTTTCTCCCATGACACCTAGCTTTCCCCCCTCTTCGCTTTACCGTCACAAGAGCCCTGTGGGGGTAAGTCAGGCTGGACTGGCCCAAGATCACCCACCGAGCCTCAGGGCTCAGTGAGGACTGAAAGCAGACTCTCCTGCTCCCACAGCGCAAAAGTGGCTCTTGGGATGAACACATTTCTGAAGCCCTCTTTCAGGCATGCCACCCTGGCCATCATCTGCTTGTCCAGAGTGGGTACAGCAATGCAGAGGCAAAACAGACAAAGCCTTGGGGGAGGCAGGGATTATCATTGGGTAGGAGCCGGGCAGATGGCACAGAGAATCTGGGAGGCAGATGGCAGATGGCAGGAGTAGCCAGGACAAGGCAGCAGAAGCCCTTGGCTTTGGAATCGGGGTGTGTGTGTCTGTGTGTGTTAGGGAGACTAGCCGTCAGCCCATTTTCCTGGGGATTTCCATGAAGCAGACTGAGCCTTTGTCACTAGGGAGATTCTAGCTGGGCCAAATTCACAGTGATGCTCAGCACCGCAGAGGGTCGGTCCTCGCCCTGCTAGCAGAGTGAACTGGGCTGAAAGAATGCCGTTTCCCCTGTGGATTTGTTCAGAAAGTCCACCTGCTCTTTGAATGTTGACCGGCGTCCTTTTGTGTTGTTCCTTAAAGACCGGCAAGCACTCCCAAGACCTGGATTGATCACAGTGCTATTTCTACCCGGTGGATCTTGGGATGATTTTTTAAACAAGGTCCTGCTCGCTCACTTGCTCTCTCTTTCTTTAAAATATTTATATCCTGCCTTTCCCCCAAAAAGAACCTAAGGTGGCTTACAAGTATTTTTTTAAAAACACCAAGCAGTATTAAAAAAAGCAAAGAGCAAAAATGGTTAGAGTATTTTGAAAAATTAATCAAATGTGATATTGTTTATTCATTTGAAATGCTTCTACCCTGCCTTTCTTCTTAAAAAGGACTAAAGGCAGCTTACACCATGGGAAGACAATATTTGAAGCTGAATACAATGAGTATAAAAAGGTGGTTTACATTGTTAAAAGACAATGTTGACGCTAAAAACAATTAAGTATATAAATATGGAAAAGGGACAAACAAATACCACTCTGAGAAATGGGAAGCAAAAATCGTACTAAAAACACAGTCAAAGCCATAATGCATGACAAATCTCTCTAAAAATCCCACTCAGGTAGCTGGTCACTGAGGGAGAGCCTGCCAGAAGAGAAAGGTCTTGGTCTGCTTGTTGGAAGGACAGCAAAGATGGGGCCAGCCTGGCCTCCAGTGGCAGAGAGTTCCACTGTCCAGGAGCAGCCATGGGAGAAGCCGCCCTCTCCTGTGTCTCCATCCAAAGCTTGACAAGAACAGCACTTCTAAACACCTTAAGAACCCCTGCTGTGTCATGCTTCCCGCCATTTTCTCTGAGGGAAGAGCTCTCTGCCGTGGGAAGGGGCTTCTCCCCTCCCTGCCCCTCTGGGTGAGGAAGTGTGCCTTTTTTTATGCAGCAAGTGATAAAAGGGTGGAGCGCCCCCCCATCTTTTGTGGGGTGACCCACTGAAGCCGAATTTTCAAGGGTCTCTCTCTGTGTGTGTCTTACAGCTCTCCCATGAGATATGGGGAGGTTTTTCCAGGCCCTCTGGGGTCCTCCTAAGCAAAAGCTTCCGGAAGGTTCCCCCCTCAGCCCACAGAAAGGAATGAAGGGCAGGAGGGCAGTCAAAATGTCCCCTGGCCCCACAGCTGCCTTTCTGCCAGCCGGCAAAGGAGACCTTTCTCCTCAGGCAAGCTTTTCCTTTCACGACAAGGCTGTCTAGGAAAGGTCTGAAAACGAGAGGCTTCACCTTTCTGTGGCTTCTAAATCTGTTTGCAGTCACGCTTTACCTCACGTTCTTGATAGGAAATGAAATGAATCGCATTCTACAGTATTTGGATATTTCACTGGTCTGAGCTTTCATTGTGGCCTTTCAAGGAGGGGAGCCGCCTCAGACCCTTTGGGCAGGGCAGGAATGTTTTAAATCAAATCAATAAATGATTAGAGTGGCACACCAGATATTCTCCTCGGGAGAAAGGCAGCCTATAAAAGACATATACAATTAAAAAAAAATAAAAATAAATAAATATGTGATACAAATTAAAACAAAGAAGCGGCACAGTCCATTTTAGCACGGGCTCACAGAGACGCTCCCCCATGGGAAGGCCTGCTTCCAAACCCTCTCCCCACCATGAGAGGATTTCTGCCTGAATGTGATGTTATTCCCCCATAGCACCTCCACTCTGCCATTTTTTTTAAAAAAATATTCCCTGGCTTGACTGAGAAAGAGGTCCTTCTGCCTCCATTGGAATGGACTTATAAGCCCATTTCATTTGGAATATTAATTTATTTAAAATATTTTTACCCCACCTTTCTCCTTGAAAAAGGAGCCAAGGCGGCTTACAGCCCTGAAAGACCAGATTTGAAGTTGAAAACAATGAGTGTAACACGGTGGTTCGTAGCATTAAAAGGCCATATTTAAAGCTAAGAACCATGAGTATAAAGAGGCAGCTTACATCGTGAAAAGGCAATATTAAAGCTAAGGACAATAAAGGAAACAAATATTAAAAAGGAAAAGAAATTCCACTCTGAGAAATTGAAAACACAAGGTGTACTAAAAGTGTAAGCAATTATATTTTCCCAGCCATCCCCTATGAGGTGGAATTCTAGTGTTTTAATGTACATATTTTTATTTATATTTGCTTAAACATTTCAGTGTGTTAGTTGGCCTGATAAGTATTTATATTTGCTTCTCTCTTAACCTTTTCACCCAGCCTTTGACACCACCAGGCTACAGGTCCATTTGATCCTCCTTGTTAAGAAAGCAGCAAATGTCCCTCAGGAGAGGGCACCTGGTTTTTAATTCCCAATTCTGTAAGCCCTGCCCAGCTCATCCCCTGCCTGCATCTGAGAAGCCAAAGTTAAAAAGAGTCAAATGCTCAGCAAGGGGGAGAGAGAGGTGAGCAGAGGCAACAAAAGCTGTCCTGGGTGTGAGCTATACTTCTCAGGTATCAGGAAAGCTGGGAGCACTTGTTGTAACAGCAGCTGTGATGCATTGCCATCAACACCACCCACATTTGCCGAACTGTCCTAGGAAGGCATGGTGTTCCTGCCCAATTAAAATGGCCGGCCATAGGGAGGAATGAAAACTCAGGGGAGGCTTTGGGAAAACGCAAGTCATCCCAGACGGAACGTACGGCTTCTGTGAGTATCTGTGAAATCGGAATGCATCATTTTCTGTTCTGTGGGCCATGAGACGACATTTGCTTTGCACTGTTAGAACTGTAGAAGAAAGCGTTTTTGGTTGATTATTCTATTTGCTTTAATTGTTGAATTTTTCATATTTCTTCTTCTTTAAACAACACTTCTTTGGTTTTTATTCCTTTCTGTCATTAGCTCATTTTTGTCGATTCCTAGTCATTTTTTTTTTTTGCTTCCTATTGCACTGAATGGGAAACTTCACCAATCTTCTGCAGCCTGTAACTTGGATTTTTTTTAAAAAACCAAAATGGCAAGACCTATTAGATCTTCAAGGCTTTCTTTCAAGGCTCTGTATTTTAGATGTCAAACACAGGCATGCGTCTTATGATAGTAATAATATTTATTTATATTGTGCTCTACACCAGAGTGCACTGCAACAAATCAATCATATACAAACATGCAACACATTTCTGCATTTACCACTGCCTGACATGAGAGTCCCAGCTACTTTTCTGCTGCTTGCAATTTTGTTTTCTGTCTCGTTTTCAGGCATTCGATTCTTAAGGGCACCAGGAACACCCCTTTTCAATCAAATCATATAAAGAGTTCCCATTTTTTAAAAGCCAATTTAAACAGACACACAGATACAGCTCTCTTTCCATCCCTCCCTCTTTCCTTCTAACCTTTCTATAACCTGTGTAGGCTGTTCCAGCCCATTTATAGTTTTGTTTTTTTAAATCTTGACAGAAATGATTTCTTAAAAAAAGAAACCAAATTGATATTTCATTTTTTATCTCAACTGTTTGAAATCCCAGTGGGTTTTTGTGGTATAGATGAATGCAGCATAAAAGGGCTCTTTTATTCCATTTCCCATTCATTGTAAAAAGAACACCTTCCCCTTCTATTTTACTGAGCAGTACAGATTACCGAAACCACCATTGGTGGACGGATGATAATTTGGACAGCTTCTTTAGTGTCATGAGCAAACAATGAAGTTCCAATTCTATGTTTTATTTTCACCTGCTCTATCAACTGCGCACCTTGAACCATTCAACCTCATCAGATTGAAATAGCTTAGCAGCGTCTGTCATGGTTAGAATTGGGTTGGGAGACCACCAGGGATCTCCAGACAGAGCTAGCAAAACATGTTCCCTAAACCTTGGACAGCCTTTGCTGCCAGTCTGAGCCAGTAGTATTTGGCTAGGTGGACTGAAGGTCTGATTCAGTCGAAGGCAGCTTCCTCCATTCCTGTAAACTCAACAGGCGTCTTGAGACAAGCCATCATCCCTCTGCTTTGGCAGCCCACACCTGTGTGTAGGGGAATGATAACACTGTCTTACTCCACTGAGTTCCTGGGATAACATCTTTTAGAAGCACTTGACAAGTTCTAATCGTGGCATATAAATACTGAGCAAAAGGAAACTGGAAGGCTTTAATTACTAGGTGAAATGATTCAAGATAAATTCATGTGTGAGCAGAACAACAAGCACAGCGATGCATTGTGCAAAGGAAAACATGCCCTGAACCACTATTTGTTCCGCTCTGTTCGCTTCGGTGCATGATGACAAGAAAATGCTGTTTAGGTTGAAGTCTCTCCCTCTTAATGCCTAGCAGTACATTTTATTTTCAGAATTATTCCAAGCATTTTGACTTTGGAATTACCCCAGAGAGATAGTTACCTTGAGCATTAGACGTACCCCTCCAAATTTTATTTAAAATTCTAAGGCCTATCATCTTTTCTGAAAGTTACAGGAGGCTCTATGACAAAAGAAAGAAGACAGCCAAGGCTGCCAGGATCTTCCTGAGCAGAAGCCGCTTCCTGATGTTCTTCACAAGAAATAGGCAGAGCGGGCTATCCTCCTTTATGTCCAGACAGATTGAGGTTCGTTTCCCAGCATCTCCAGGTAAGGCTGAGAAAAATCCCAGAAAGTTCTTGCTGACGGTCAGTGTTGGTGAGCTTGGGCTAAATGGACCATGGGTTTGGCTGACAAAATGACAGCTTCCTATGTTTGCATTGCAAACATAGTGGTCCTGGTGCCACAAGGCTATTGTGAAAAGCTCTGCTGTATTCCCACACGAGGGCTTGCGGAGAGAGCCACACACCACCTGGGTTTTACTGCATAAGTAAATGTTGTGTACATGCTTTTCTTATTTTTTGGGCCAGGCACATGGATTAATAAATGCCCAGGAATGAGTACCCATCTTTGGATGTTTAGTGCATTTGCAGATTCAAGGTGTACAGTCCTGAGAAAAATAAGCATAGCTCACGTGTCACAACCGTCCCTCTTTGCTAGTTGATGTTGTTGTTATCTTCCTTCTCTTCTTTACTTGTATGGGTTTTTTCTAGAAAAGGCTTTAGGGGAGGATTGAATAGTGGACTTCCTGCTTCAATGTAAAATTTGCAGTCTTTCCTCCTTTCTATACGTGTGCCTTAAAAACCTGCTCAAGAGAGCTAGGAAAGCATGGTCGGCTGCACCAGGAAAAGGAGAGGACAGCATTGTGTATATATGATTTCTGCATGCCTACTGTTGGATCTTGGCCTAGCTGTCTTATAGCTAAGAAATGCAAAAATTAAAAACAAGGAAACCACTATGGATTGCACATCCCCCTCCCTGCCCAGAACAAACAATTAGGGACCATCAACTGGATTTGAGACAATATTGGAAAAACATTAGCATCTTATCAAATGTTTGGGGTTCACAAAATAAACAGAGGAAGCTAATGGCTTTGGTGTCAGTGGGGTGGTGATGGATCTGCTCTGAATCTGTTTGATGGTGGTGGTGGGTTCAGAGTAAATCCTATAGCACAGTCATAGACCAAGGAGAAGAGGAAGACAGCAGCGGAAACAACAGCAGGAAAGAACAAAGAAAGCCTCTCTCACTTATTATTAACCTCTCCAAGAGAGAGGTACTTAGATGGAAGGTCTCCAATATTTTATTTTTTCCCCTTTTTAAGTGACTGTTATTTCCTTCATATTTTTAAAAAGCCTTTTGAGGATTCCCGTCTTAAAGAAAAATTAGCCTTGAGGACTGAGAAATCTCTCCCTATTTCATTTTCTCCTGGATTTGAAGTTGCTAAAGCACATTTTCATCCCCTATGCCAAATATGAAGAAATTTGCCAATGTCAGCAAATCCATTTTTACAAACCAACAGAAACTGAATACCTCTCCTTATTTTCACTGGCTTAGTTCAAGAGATGCCACTCTTCCCAGCCTGGAGAGGAATATGTTGTCTGAAATGGTGAATATGAGGCATCTTTCAGGAAGAAGAAGTGGCATCAGGATGTAGGCCTTTAAGACTTCAGCACTCAAGCCCTAGGCCTGAGTTTTTAATCTGTTGATTTTGTATAGATTATTTAATTTTATTGTCTGTTTTGTATTATCTTTAGATTTTGTTTTGTGGTATTATGTTAACTGCCCAGAGAGGCTTGGGTTGGCAGATAGCGGGTATAGAAATTAAACAAACAAACAAACAAATAGATTAATCTCTTAGTGTTTCTCCGACATTTTATGCCATTCATTTCTTAATGAAAGCTGCTCAATTCTTACTGGAAATGAATAGAAGCAGGCTTTTTATCTACCTCTGCTGTTGAGATGCTGGAATTATTGTCATTTGTCCTTTCTTGGGGTCTCTTGATCCCTCCTTGGGGAATGGATAAGGCTTTACCCAGCACACTTGCATAATTATACATGTGCATGAACACCAAAACATGCAGAAGCTTTGTCATGCTGTAGACTTAACTACATTTTGCGCCACAATTGCGTCCCAATGTCTACTGTGCGGCAATAGACTGTGAAGGGCTCGCAGGGAACTCTCCATGGTGCTGCCCAGCACGTGCTGCCCTTCCAGACCAACCTACACAATCAGCAGAGTGGCACCACCAACACCAGGGAGGAAAGGTTCAGAGGTGTCTTCTCGTTAGAGAATACGAATGCTACAAACATGGCCCTGTTTTCATAAGTGGAATCAGAGCATGGGAAATGTGGTGCGTGGAGATAGGCATGCCGGATATGCAGTCAAGTCATTTCCAATTTAACAGTTTTTATGAAAAAAAGGTACTGTCATTAACAGCCCTGCTCAGTCTTGCAAACTCGGGCCTGTGGCTTCTTTTATTATGTGAACCTTTCTCGTGTTCTGTCTTCCTCAGCATTGTTCTGTTTTCCTAGGAGTCTTGTTGTGTCATGATATGCCCTAACAATGAGAGTCTCCATTTAGACTCCTTGGTTTCTAATGAGAACTCAGGCTTAATTTGGACTAGAAACAATTAATTTGTCTTTCTGGAGCGCTATAGTACTTGTAAAACTCTCCTCCTTGTGAAATCACAGGATGTACAATACCAGAGGCCTGTTGAACTGCTGACATTTGAAACGATTACCTGGGTATTGGTTTCAAATCCCAACAAAGAGACATGTAATACAGCAAAGAGAAATACATTCCTAGAACCATTAGCCAATCTCCTAATTTTTTTGTAAAAAATGAACCAGAGCTGAAAGACGTGAGAACCATCAGTTTGTCCACAACCATTTTCCCATTCAAAATTGCCCAGCATCCCACCTCGCTCTACCCTGTGTCTTCTGCGCCCCCTTGCAATCCCAAATCCCCTGAGTAATGTGGAACTTTGCCCCCCACCCAGTCCCCTTGAGAGGGTTCTGGGGATTATAACCAAGATGTCCCTTTGTGGGCCAGGAGAATAAAAGTCAGTGTTATCTTAATACTGTGCCTAAGATTTATTAACAGAAGATGCAGAAAGGACAAGATCATTTCTGCCTATCATAACCACCTGGCAGAAAGCCATTCTCTCTCTCTCTCTCTCTCTCTCTCTTCCTATTCTCCATCACCTGGCAAATGCTGTCAAGGGTAGGTCATTTGATTCCTCCGCCGTCAATACAGGAAGGTGATAAATGTGTCACATCACATTTTGTGCCGCTGTCTTCACCCTTGTATGCGGGGGGGGCGGGGAGAAAAAAATGCTTTTTTGTCAATGCACATTGATTTTTCTCTTAGAATCAACGAAGTAACTGAAACAAGGAAAGCTGTACCATGTGATCAGAGGAAAGCATGGCTTGAGAGGTTACTTTTCAAAATAATGGGTTATCAGCCAGTTCTGAGCCTCTCTCCAAGTGAGCAGTTATTTTTATAGCCATAACAACATTTTTTTAAAAAAATGGTAACTATGTTAGTTTGTTCCCCCAACAACAACAGAGGCCAAAATCCATTTTCAGCCAGAGGCCTAAATCTCTTGTATTCCCATTTACTATGTACGGATGTGACAGCTGGACACTGAAGAAAGCAGACTGGAAGAAAATGGATGCGTTTGAAATACGGTGCTGGAGGAGAGCTTTGCGGGTACCTTTGACTGCCAAAAAAGACCAACAAGTGGGTCTTAGAGCCATCTAATGGAACTGTTGCTGGAAGCAAAAATGACAGAGTTGAGGCTGTCTTATTTTGGGCACATCTTGAGAAGGCAAGACCTGCTGGGAAAGTTTGAGAACAGCAGCCAAAGAGGGAGAGCAAATACGAGTTGGACCGACTGCATCAAGGAAACCACAGTCTTTTGTTTACCAGAGCTGAGCAGGGATGTTAAGGACGGGACATTTTGGAGATTTCTCATTCATACTCAAGGTCACCATGAGTTGGAGGCAAGTGGATGGCATGTAAGAAAAACAACAAGAAATCCAGTCAACAGTCCCAGCTGGATTAAAACTTCTGGGAATCGTATTAGTATTCAGTGTGTTAGAAGATAAGAGGCGTATTAATAAATTTACCATTAGAAGGGTTACCACTAAGACTTCACAGTGAGCAATTGATTCGATGTTTGGACTAGCAGTTTGATTTAGGACAGTTGTGTGCCACCTAAAAGACTAGCCACTTTTATTTCAGCACAAGCCTCACGTGTGTTTGCATCTAATATTCTGCAACACCTTAGCAGGACTTCCGTAGGTGCCATCTTTGCTACACAGTCGTAATGCCACAATTGGCATGATCTATCTAATCTTAGGGTCTGTAGTTTAACAACATATAGTACTTAGAAATCTTGGCTTAGGGATGTTAGGTGTGTTCCCTTGAACTCCAATGGAAGAATTCAAATTCACCTCAAAGGACAAATCTTAGGATTCAACAGGAAGGAATCACGACAGTTAAAGAGGTATTGAACAGCTATAACAATTTAGGGCAGATGCACTTTTAAGTTGCTCTCATTCACCTTAAAGAATATGGGCACATAGCAAATCTTTCTGGGGTTTGTTTCCTGAGGATGTTTTCAGAGAAAAGCTTGCAGAGCCAAGATGAACAAAGGAGAGGCTCCCATCGTCTTCCCCGACCCTCCCCATTGCTACAGAAAGCTGTTTGGGTTTTACAGCTTTGGTACCAAAATACAATTGACCATCCCTGTGTATAGACAAGTGTGGGGTCAGTCTTTCTGTGCCATTCGGGGGGGGGGGAATGCCAGCTGTGCCCTGAAGAAGGAAGCTGTACCATTCTGGGTGCAGCTGCTTTCCACAGGAGTGACCTCCTGAACCATGATGCAACAGACTGGAAACTCCACCAGCGCTTCACTCAAAGTATGCAATGGAAGGCTTTAAGCATGAATTAAATATGAGAATGAATTCCACCACTCTGCATGCGCTGTTTGGAGAATAAAATGCAATGCTGCATCTCAGGGTAACCTCACCATTTCATAGAACGAAGGGATGTGTGATTTTCAGTTTTGGAGCACATGGTGCAAACAGTCAGAGGAAGAACAAAGGCTGCTTCTCAGGAAGGATGCTGAGCGGGTCCACAGAGTATCAAGGGTGATATTTTGTGGCCATGGCTTTGAGTGTTACTTTGAGGGTCAAACTTGTCAATATGTTTAGGACATTCTTAGAAGTTGGTGAAATATGTCTTTGTTTGATACCATGCACTT